TAAGTCTAACACTGAAAGAACAATTCAAACCCTCATTCTTGTTTTTACCCCCTGAAATTAAAATCCTCTTTATGGACGTTGCAAACAATTTATATTAATTTTTCAATTCTAGTGATTAAAATTACAACTCTTTACAATAAGTAATTCTACAAGAGAAAATTTTGTTTCAGGTGCTGTTTACAATTAAAATTACCTGTTTACTGAGGATTGCTTTACCTAGGGGATGTCTTTATTCCCAAGTCCATGTTTTCATTTTTGTGTATAGTATGTAACAATAGCTCTCTAGTACATAGTCTCAACAGGCAATAACATGCTTAAGAAAATTTTTTAATTATTAATTCTTCTTCAATGGAAGACTCACTATCCTAGAAAATAAATGGAAGGATCTAAGAATGCATATACTATATATATATATTTTTTTTTTTGTTTCAATTTCCTTTACTCTCAAATACTTCCTTACTTGGTAAAGCCAATTCAAAACAACCTTTAAATTTTAAAATCTTCTCCCTTACATGGATTCACTTAGATTGGAAAGGATCTCAAGTACTTAGGGCCATCTCAAGCTAAGTCTCATTAGGTGAGTTTGTACAGGGGCTATATCCATTCCTAAAGGATGTGGGGCAGTGGCTCTGGGCAGTGAATTTCAGTGTCTGACCATCCCTCACAGTAAAACTCTTTAGCTTGTTGTACACAGCAGTTAAAAGTTAAATATAGAATCTGTGTTTTGATTTTTTGCTTACTGATAACTGATTTCAGTATTATGTAGTTCATTAGCTTTAACTGTGCTTGTCATGTCAATGATCATGTCAGAGATTCACAGAGTAATCACACTCAAAACTCAATATCAATGGAYCACAAATCAGTCACATTATTTGCTCAGTGGTCAGAATCAATGGGTTAAACTGCATTATAGCAAAAATATTAACAGAGATGTTTACACTCTGCAGTTAATTTGTCTGTTTTAGCTGGGAAACTGGGGGAGTAACACTACAAAGGTAAACCAGAAAACAATGTATGATATCTGATACTTACCTGTAATTTCTGTTGAAGTCATCACTATCAGACCCGTAATCTCTGTGAAGTGAAGGAGATGAGGAAAAATGAGGTTCTGGTACATTGTCATGGGAAGARAAGGACTGACTTCTGCAAATTAACCAGAACTGCATGTTAAGAAGACTGCCAACAAATTTAAGAGTTGGAAAAAAATAATGAAATTAAAATATTTCTACTTTTAATAAAAATTACTTTAAATTCTAATACAAACTGTAATAACTGTATTAATTTAATACCTCAAAATCATATGCTCCATAGTAATAACGTACTGTTTTAGCCTGTACAATGGAAGAAATTAAATCAAACTTAACTAGTCCAAAAAATCTGAAATGTATTCTGAAATATTAAAAACATTTTCAAACATGTCAGAACCCAATGGGTTTACTAGAAAGTGATATATGAATTTTTGAGAATATAATGCAAGTTCTGAAGCAAACAGATTTCTAACACARTATTAACTCATGGAATAAACAAAGGCAAATCAAACTTCCTTGTAGCATTCCCATTTATCTGTGTTTGGTTCAGGGCATAAATAAAATTTCAAATCCTGTTCTGTCCAGAGGACTGATTTTTAAGTATAACTTTCTATACAAAACAAAATGGGACAAAAAGTTTTGTTTCAAGCTGACTAAAAGGTAAAGGAAACACAAACTTTAAAGAAGCACAATCTTCTAATTCAGGAAACCCTGGCTTTCTAAGCTGCAACATTCTAGCTTACATCCTTCTTTAAGTCAAAACAAGAAAAATTAATGAACTGGTCATTTATATATTAAAAGGATGATTAATTGATTTAAAAATAAGTTCTTCTGACAAGTACTTAATTTGAAATTTAAATTAAAACTGCTGAGGCTTACACTTTTATTCTCTAATTCTGTTCTTAAAGCTCAAAGATGCTTTACCTGTCTGAACACCAATCATGTGGCAAGTCATTGTGACCTGGATGATCGTGAAAAGGTCTTGGCCTTTGTCCATGACCTTTATTACCATAATCAAAATCTTTTAATTGAGTCTGTTCCTGTAAGCCATCATAAGGCTGAGGGTCATGAAAAGGTCTGCACCTTTGTCTGGGACCTTTGTTATCATAATCCTTCAGTTGCATCTCTGTTTTTAAGTCATTGCGAGGCTGGTGATCATTAAAAGGTCTTAACCTCTGTCCACGACCCCTCTTAACAAATTCAAAATCTCCCAATTGCATCTGTGTCTGCAAGTTATCACATGACTCATAGTCATGGAAAGATCTTAGTCCTTGGCCAGGACCTCTGCTGGCAGAATCCTGTTCTTTTATCTGCATTTGAGTCTGAAATTCATCACGAGATTGGTGGTCATGGAACAGTTTTCGTCTCTGGCCACGGCCCCTGCTACCAAAATCAAAATCCTTTGACTGCCTGTCTTCCTTCAAATCATTAGGAGAAGGATGGTCAGGAAAAGTTCTCTGCCTTTGTTCACGGCCTCTGGTAAAATCAAAAGACTGTCTGTCTGCTTGCAAATCATCATGAAACTGGTGTCTGTGAAAAGGTCTCAAATTTTGTCCATGTCCCTTGTTACTGAAGTCTATGTCCTTCAGCTGTGTGTCTTCTTGATAATCATCACAAAACTGGTGATCAGTAAAGGCTCTTTGTCGTTGTTCTGGTCCCCTATTGTAGTCCCAATTTCTCATCTGCACTGATGTTCTTAATTCATCCTGAGTTTGATGGTCATGAAATGGTCTTCGTCTTTGTCCAGGCCCCTTATTAATGAAGTCAAAATCTCTCAACTGCATCTGTCCTTGTAAATCATTGTGAGAATGGTCATCATAAACTCTTAATCTTTTCCCAGACCTGTAAGGAAGTATTGAATATCATACTTAAAAGTGCTACAAGTAATGAAAACAATTCCTTTTTAACCAAGAATTTATATAAAAGACATTGCAAATATGAAGATATCAAAACTAATAACAATCCAAATTGTATGTAAGATTATAAAACCTTCAGTGTTAAAGCAAAAGCTGTGACAATTCAATTGTAATTCTATAGTGCTTGTTAAACAGGCAAAACCAATGATTCAAAATTAATTGAAAATAACTGCAGATTGTTGTAGAATAATAAAAGACAGGCGAAGTAAAACTGGATTTTCCTAAGTGAACTAATTACTTACAGACTTTGAACAGCATACATTCCCTTTCTTTCCCTTGTCACTGTTTTGTCAAATTTCTGTAAATACTTTTTGCATGAGTAGGCTGTATTAATAAAATCTCTTTTGGGTACCTATAGTATTTTCAATAAGATACAATTATTTCCCCCTGTGGCTTTTTTTTTTTTTCTTTTGTTTTTAATTCCATGTTTCAGCTTATTACCCCTGAAAATCTTCATTTGGGAACCGCTCTACAGATCCTTCCATTGCATGTGGTGGTGGGATAATATCTTCATCTGCATCCCATACATCCATTCCAAGGTTACTAAGAGGGAAAAAAACCATCTCACATAAGCTTCCTTTTTTAAACCATACTATTGACAGAGAAAAAACCCATTCCTATAAAATTCTTCAGTTCAGAATGACAGAAATTTTTACGTGAAGTAAAATTTACAGACAATTTAGAAAATATTATTCTTGTAAATTCATTTTAAAAATCTGACACGAGTTCAACTTAATCATGCACAGACTATGAAACAATGATAGGAGTAAAACAGAAGACCTTCAATAAATCTAAAGAGACACAAAGCAGTCAGATATTAATTTTAAAATCAATTTACTATTACAAGGCATCACTGGCACAAATACCTTAGGAAGATATAAAGATTGGCTATTCTTAGAAGAGGGTGGTGATAAGCATAACATTCTTAAACGTCAGGAATACAACTACTATGGACAGAGGAGACAAGAACAGTCTTCCACTTTCCCATACTTTTTTATTCTTAAAACAGTTCTACTTTTTTTTAAAATATCTTGTTCTACACTGCCAGCAGCGGGCAGATCATAGAGCTTGTAAGACATATTTGCAGGGGCTCCTTTCAGCTTCTGAGACTCAGTACACTTGTCACAGTATGATAAAAGCAAAACAATGTTTAGTACTAGTTGTCAGATTAAAAACCGTCTTTCAAACCATATACATTCAAAAGATGAACCAAGTACAATGCACTCCCTTATTATTCATCTGAGAATACACAAACAACTACACATACTTTAGAATCTATGTATAGTTTCACATTAAAGGTTTAAGAGGGAACTAATTTTGTCTTAGGACTGGAAGTGAACTTCTAAAAATGCCACGAGACATACTGGATAAATCTTAAGCATACAATTAAGATCTTTGTTACCTGCGCATTGGTTGTGTCCTGAGGTCTGTGAGATACACGAGGCCATCCATGCAATGACCTCTGGCATCACCAAAAGCTGAAAAAAAAAACAACCCAATCTAATGAAAGGGGCTCAAACTGAGCCATGAAAATGTGAAAGGCAAGTTTCTATTCCTCATGAGATGCTGCATTTGAAACAATTCTAACTTGGTATTAAATATTTCAGCAAGCTGGCATCATTGCAGCATTTTTTAAAAAAAACTGAAAATAGTAGTGATAGTAAACTATGACTGAAAACTGTTTCAAGTAAAAAAAAAATTTAGACAGGTAAAACATACTCCTCCTATGCTGTCAATTTGCTATTGCTCAAGTCCTGCCTGGAAGAATCAACAGTCAGATAAAATCTTCTATATAAGCCAGCACATGAAATTGTTGAAAAGATACTAAAATAGAATTGTAGTATTTGAATTTTTAGTAATTGAAGTATAACCTGACAGGTGCCTTAGTTCAAACGATAGACATACCTTGAATTGCTGCCTCTGGATCCCAGCCTTCAACATCTATMAGATACCTGAAGAAAAATATGACTATGTTACTGTCCCAAAAGGAATACAGAGTAAGACAAGGATGCTATTTTTGTGAACCATGATTTCTATTTTCATACAACCTTACCTACATATAAGGTAGCCAGTTCTATTAATTCCATTAGTACAGTGAACACCAATGAGTTTCTCTATCAAAAAAGGAAAGAGTCTTTATTAGTCCAGGAAGTGTAATTTATAAAAAGATAGCACAATACAAAACAAATATCTGCTTTTCTAGCACAGTAATGACAAATAATGCTTGCTATTTACAAATTCTACTGTCACGCCTGTAAAATAACAGACACATCCAGACAGGACACATGTCCTCTCCATGCTGGATCTCTAGCAGCTATTAGCTCACTAATTCCAAACCTATGAAAACTGAGATTGACTCTGCAGAATGCAGGAAAAAAGAAGGAGTGAATTTAAGCACCTGACTTTGCTTTGCAGTAAAAACTGTATGYACTTTGGCAGTTAATATCCCCACTTTCTCAAAGAAAATGCCAAAGGAACCACAGCAAATAGCATGWAAGGCCTGAAAGAATGGTTTACCATTATTGGATAAACAAATAGGAAACATCTGCCTACAAAGAACCACTACCAAAAGTGAGAAGCTAAAAGCTACGAACACACTGTGGCAAAATGCACATCAATTTATTTTCAAAAAAAGCTCCTTATCCAATCTCAGCAAGAACTGTCCTGTTGCATAGGCACTGAAACAGCAGCACAGACACACTGTGGAAACACTGACACTGCATCTATAATCAGATTTTCAAGAATTGTTCAGCTCTGAGGGCAATAATGGACTCATAAATCAAAAAAACCACTACATCAGACTAAGTGGACTAAGTTGCTCACACATATCACTGCCCAGTGCCATCAGAGACCCAGTGCTATTTAAAACATCCATCAAGGGCTGGCAGCTACAACACTCAGCTGACGGTAAACAACCTGGGTCAGACAGATGAAGGCCTTGTTGCAGTTACTGTGACACATAATACAAATGTAACACTATCAGGAAGGGCATTTAAGTTACAMGTCATTTTTGGAAAAAACATGTTTTGATTGAAAAAAAGATATGTAATGGTTCACATAATGGATCTTATTATGATAATAAAGTGRAAAGTGCTGTAGAAAGTCTGAGATCCCTGGTGTCATGAATTTTATTGAATATTGAAGTTAGTAAATGACACAGTTAGTACTTAAATAAAATTTTGGTGAGTTCTTTTTTTTTACAGCATGGGATGCTGATATTTACCATTTCCTGCATTTTCCCAAAGGAATTTTCTGACCCACTTTTTGAACTGTAGGATAGTAGCATTATCAGGGACTTCAAGTCCAACAGTATAAAGTTTCTTATACTGCACACTTTTAGGTAAATCCTAACAACAAAAAGAAAAAAAAAAAGGTAAAAATTACAGAAGTCTTGCAACATGAGAAACCTTAAGCAATACCTAACACAGTGACAGTGTAAACCAGTAGCTCAAATCCTGAACAGAAACTGAAAACAATCCTGACACAATTGTATAGAGATACACTCTCAGAAACTACCAGTAACATTTCTACATTAAAGACCATCTCAGAAAAAGAACAGTTTCTACATAAGATTCAGTTATTCCTGCTAATAAGGCTGTACATTAACTAAGGGAGCAGATTCTTGTCATTCCATTCTAACCCATTTTACAATTATTAGCAGTATGTCCCTCCTACCCACAATCATGTACACACATATTCACTGCCTTAATGCCTAGAGCCCATGTGCATTCAAAGTTTTGCATTCTGTTGTAACATTGCCACTTACTTTCCTTTTCAACAGGAGGCTGATTAATCATAATTGTTTGGATCATACAGGTAAAATACACATTCTTAGTGGATTCCAGTGAGGATCAGTGAAAAAAAAAACCCAAAAAAAAAAAAAAACCTAGGAATAAATTAGAAAATCTTCAGGACACAGTTTAACTCTTCTGCACCCTTTGTGCAGTGCCTGGCACTGAGGTCTTTATCCATTACTGAGTTACCATAATACACATAAGCCACAAATGCACTTAGCTGGAAGAATGAGTTATTTCCTCTGTGATAAAACATTTATTTTTCTACYGGTGAAAAAAAATTAGTCTAGATGGGTTACTTGTCTATTYCAATTCRAGGTAAGCAAATGCATTAACACTCTAAAACAAAAGTTGCAGCAACTATTTTACATTTTYATTAGGCTTTTTTTACCTTAACTTCATAGTATCGTGTGGTATATGTTAAATCAATAATTAATCCAAGCTCCACATTWAGGGCTTTCATTGCAGCAATTAAGTCCTTTGGTGTAAATTTCTGGGTTGGGGTAAGCCTCTGGTTAATTGCCTACAAAGAAAATGGAAAAACAAAATTTTCTTTTTTTTTGTTTTGTCAAGACATTGGTAATTGTCAGCTGTTTTAAGTAGTACTAGGAAACATCAATATTTAAAAGGGAGTATTTAATTATCAAAACAATGTCCATGTATTATATAGGTAAGAGGAATCAAAAAGCAAAAATTTATGTATTCCTATTCAAATGAAAATGCCAGAAAATGTGAGCATTTCTGCTTGTACAATGCTAACAAACATTATTAAAGTAAGTTCTAATTTGATAGACACAAAAATTCAGCAAAATGCAACATGTGTATACCGATCTTTATGTAATTAAGMACACTAAAAAGCAGAACACTACAAYCCACTTCACCCAAACAAATTTTGTCCTGCCAAATATCTCAAAACTACAAGTGTATTTCACATAAAACATTAGAAGCYGTGATACAAGAGTTCATTTCTAAAGGTTTAACTTTCTTCCCACAAAAGTTGTGCAGACATTTTTATCCCTGCTTCACTTCTTGACAGAGCATATTTGCATGTCATTTAGCACTGGGAAATATTAAATAAGACTACATATCGTGACTAAGAAAGCTGTGTGTTGGTGGATAATGAATAATTAATTTCATTTGACAAACAGTGAGAAAAATGTTTACTCACCCTATTGTAGCTGTGTTTTTTGAAATGTGTTCTTCACTTTAGGTATGAAAATGCCTCATATACTCAAGACTGGATTTTCTCTGAATAGTGCACTTGTCCATTGTGAGAGCCTTTTGACACAGGCTCAGCCAGAACCAATAAAGACAGTGGCAAAAGATGCAGCAGCCTCAACCACCTGTCAGTTCCTTTGTCAACAAGAAAGTCAAGCAGACTGGACTCAGAACTATTGGAAAGGAAGGCAGCCACAGACCACATACTTCTTAGAACCACAGATGCTATAGGGTAACTAACCATTCCTTGTTTTGACKGTACAGATTATCATGTAAAATGCTAGCAAGCACTTGTCTCGAGTCTAGAAACAGAGATGGGAAAGACAGGGCAGTCATCAAAGCTGGAATGTGATTAGGAAGCTTGAGCTAAAAGGAGTAGGATAGAAAGCATATAATAATGTATTCAGTCCTGTGTATTTCAGACACCACTGCACTGCTGAAAAAAGTGGAGGTTGTACAAGTTTAAACAAATTGAACGTGAGTCAGTTATCGCACTGCAACTCAGCAGTGACTCAGTAGAATCTGAAACTGAACTGAACAAGTTTGAGGTGACAAGGTGAATCTGCAAAAGGTCTATGGTAGAACATGAAAGAATTTTTACTATGTCATATGACACAAACTGAGGAGGAATGTAATTTACAAAAACAAGGAGTCTCTAAACATACTGTTTGAGTAGACAGTTAAATATGTTATGAAAGATTACGTTTTGAAAGGCTCTTTGGAATTTTCAGAAAAACTCCTACTGAGTATTGAGTAGTTTAGATGTTTAATAGGGCTTTGAGAATGTGAGAAATCTGACTCAATTCTAAAAATCCTTCTAATGGCATGGGAAAGAACATGCCCAGCTCTTACTACACTACAATGTTACTGTTAGCATTATAATGGTTGTCTGAAAGGAAGGACAGAAAATCCTTCCAAGTAAACACATGATCATAAAGGCTTTACTAACAGCACATCTTCTAAGGCAATAACCCTCGTATCTTCAAATACTGAAAATCTGTTTTCTCCCTTTGGGTGAAATCACAATCATCAATTTGCTAATAGGTAGCAAAGAAGCAAACTGCTGCATATTTAAGAGGTCTGTTCCACCAATTTAATAAATAATAGGACTTTCAGCAGACTATAACTGATCAGGTCTTCAGCATGTACTGACCACCACCTCTGCAAAGACATCACAGTCTAGCCAGCTACACATTTTATGTGCCTTTTCCACAAACTCCATGACCTTCGAGCACACGGTCTCTGGCACACTTGTTAYTTCTCTGTCTTGCATAGTTGAGACTGAACAAACTGAAGGGACAGAAATGTTACAGATTTTGCATACTTGGGTACCAGATGTTGGCCAAGACAGCTTCCCAGAACAGATATCTATGCCCCAGTGAGATCWGCAGGACTGGAAGTGCGTAACGTGCTGATGTAGAACAGTCCTTGTGACAAGAGCAAAGAAGCCAATTATAAATCTCTACTGGATATTCACAGCTCAGTCTGTTGACTGGCAGTCTTGATGGAAAGGCACATGACTGCTGTACAATCCATCCACATCTTGAGCAATATGACCAATGTTAAGTTTGACATCCTTGGTGTCCAAGGAACTACACCATCATTCTAAAGCTGTAAAAGCAGCTGCAGAAAGCAAATCCTGCAAGGATTTCACTTCAGTCATTGCTAATAAAAATGAACTGAATGGTGACTAAAACTAAAAACACTAGGTACTAATATACCCAAAGAACTAAAATTTTTGTGTATAAATACTAGAGAGCAACCTGTAGACAAAAGCTAGGCAGAACAGATSCCCTTAACTGCTACGATTATGTCAAACCATTGTATTTTAAAGTGCTTAGAAACTTTCATTTCCTCTATACCTAAAGCAAGGACTTGTAAAAGTTAATTTATGCAGCACTTGTCCCATTTGCCCTTCTGTATAAATTAACACTAATTTGCCCTATGCCTCCAAAAAGGCATATGCAATAAAGAACTGCACAATCTCAACAAGACAACCTCCACGTATTTTAGAATCAAAGAATTTAAAGATTTAACTCACTGTATTTAATAGCATAGGACAGCACTTCATGTTAGTAAGACTCTAAAGGAAATACTAATAAAAGTACTTTTTAATTAATTAATACTTTTAATTAATAGAAGAAATCTATGAACACTGCTTTTTTTAACTATACTACAGTCCACTAGCTCATTGATGCTTTTGCYCATGAAATCTTGATCTATAATTTTAGAAGTTTTGCAGTGGCTAGTATCCTTCAAAGAGYGCTTAATTTCCATAAAATTATACTTTTGCTTACATTGCTTAGATTGTTATTCATATCATAACMCCTCCCATAAGATTTTCTTAAACCAGCCATGAAAAGATGTTAAATAAGATTATGAGTTTAGGCATTTAACAGTGTTCAAATGAATTATCCAGATTGATTTAGAAATGTGATTATTTTAAAAATATAAATAAAAAGAGTAACATCAAATATAAAGAAAAATAATTWAAAAAATAGAATACTGTTTTAAAAAGCCAGATGACTGAAAGGGCTAAATATGAATAGATTATTTTTTAAAACCTTCCTTGAAATTTGCATGTATATTTACGCTATTCCTCATTACTTTTGCAGTTTATCTAATAYAGGCAATCTGCAGTTACTTCTATACATACCCCTTTTAAAGGTACTTTGAATGCAATAAATCTCGTTCCTGGTATAGGCTGTCCAACTGGTGTCAAACTCCGCCATCTGTAAGGAAAGAAATATTTATTTTTTAGTATTTTCAAGTGACATAACAGAAGACAGCTGCAGCAGAGCACATAAAAATTGCATCTATATATACTGTTATCATACAGTATACTGTTATCATACAGGTCCTCAAATCTGCAATTACTSCATGAAGTGGTTTCAAGGTATCACCAGGATATTTGAAAACARTCTTTTYCTTTCSTTCTWCAKCTTCCAAGAAATTCCAGTCCTCAAAAKGGCAGGATAACATTTACAAACAAGTAGCACCAATACAAAYCAAAGCTGTGTAAGGTTCAATAGGTAAAAATGTMCTGCTGGAGTTGGTGGACATTTTTCAACCTGAATMAAACACCTCAACAAAGCTGCCATAGGCGCACATCAATCATTTAAWTGACAATGAAATGCAAAGTTTACTTTCATTAACAATGCAAATATCTGTATTTTCCAAAAATGTTTTCTTTGTAATATGCTTCTTTTTCAAAGAAACACTCTTGATTGAACTATACCTCAACATTTAAAAAAAATACAGAGAATATTCCATCACACCAAAATCTAGCACAAATCACCATTATGAAGATTTGCAACAACACTCAAAACACCTGTAATTCCAAAACCACAAAGAAATGGCACAAAATCTACATTGTACTGAAAAATATACAATTTTCAGTACAGAAAAAAAGTAGATTTCCATTTTTTAAAAAGTGTGAAGAGCATTATCTGAAGAAGAGAACAAGTTAATCTTAACCAGTAGATCARTTTTCCTTCAAAGAGGTAACTTACTATATTTACAACTACTATTTCTTCTTCTTCTGCAARTGCAAATTATCTCTATGACTTAAAAAGGTGCAGCTGGATGACTTAAAAATCTACACAAGCTTTTTTCATTTTTGGCTAATACCTCAACTATTAAAATACAAAGTATTTCCTATAAATTCTTTAACAMTGGTGTCCATTCACTTGCAATTTTCTGAATTAYTGYTTAAATTATTCTCTCCCTTTGAAGAGAGCATCCAACAGTTTCTAGATTCCTTTCTAAAGTTAATAAAACTACACCATTTACGAAACAAACTGAATACTTAATTTTAAAATATTCTAACCACTGAGTATTTTGCTTTGTTCACAATTCCTGTATTGGACCATAACAAAAACTAGAAGCTGGCTCGAAAAATTCTCAATGAAATACCCATAATTACATTGTCATAGTATATAAACAACATCACCATTCACAAATGCTTGGAACTAACAAAGGAAGCACAAAGCATAGTGACGGAAGTGTATTTTATATTAACCAATCATGTAACAGTCTACTACATCCATGTCTTTAGCACTGATCTGTAATCATCACGAGGCAAAGAACAGACCATTCTCACTGTTTAGACCTACAGCTGCTTCTTTTAACAGACAACAAATGAAGTAACAAAGGAGTAACACCAACTCATCGTTAGGAAGGCTGTTGCAAAGCGCTGCTCTGGAGAAGACATACACAAGATGAGGAGATGTAAGGGCAAGCTAGAGAGCTGTTTGCAATAAAACCTTTTACTAAATTCTATATTTTTACAGGAACTTTGTATCTCCTAATTGCAACAAGGGAACAGAAACAACCCTCCGCATGTAAATAATATGTATCACACAAGTTATAACTTGACACATCTTCCTAAGTGGCTTTTCTTCCACTTTGGTAAAGTGGAAACTTTGGTAGCTTTATGCTTGTTGTAAAATATGACAACAAAAATCTGGAACTATGTAACATTTATTCCTATTTAAGAGATGTAAATTGTATGTGAAACAATTAAGATCAGAAATTCAATGTTRTTTTAACCTGCTCTCTCTTGGAAAACCAAGAATGGAAATAAACCATAATAATAATACATAGGAGCTTTTAGAAGTGAAAAAGATGATCAAAAAAGGGCTTTAYAATCTTATTTTCTTTAATTAACAATGTAAAAAAGGCTTTGTAAAAATTCTTAACTTTTTTCATATTAGGGGATTGACACAACAATACCCCAGGATTACCCAGTTTGTTGTCAGATGTTACTAATCTTGGGTCTTTATTCTCTTGTATTTAAAGCCAATTAAATCCTCACAGAAAAAAAAATCTGCACCATCAGCAAGAAACTCAAAAGCTGCTGACAGCTCTACAGTAGAAAATGAGCAGAAGGCACTTTTCATCAAAAATATAAAGGCTATGTGTTTCATGTTATCTTTAAAATGGTAYTTTAAAAGGAAATTTCAGGATACGGCTGCAGAACTAAAAATAAAACCAGCAGATTGAAATTAACCAAAGATTAACTAAGGGAATAAATTCAGATTTGTTCTGTTGTCAACAAAGGAACACAGTTGGGAATTACAGGTGGTCCAGACTAAAGAAAGTCAAACTCTTACAAAATAAGTATAGATAAAGGCAAAAATGATCAAAGACGAGCTGCAGGTGCTCACATAAACAGGCAAAGACTTAACTAAGCATTTTAACAAGTATGAATGAGACTTGTGACACATTATTTGTATCCTGTTTGGATACAAGTGGAAGGAAAAAAGGCAGCAGTCAGAGGTGTTATCACAAGACTTGGCACCATCATCCCTGTACCAGTGACTAAGAGAGGTTTGAATGAAAAACAAACTGGACATGAAGTAGCTGATTATGGATTACATACAGCTGAATATTTTATCTGCTTTGATTAAAACTTTTAATAGAGCCAGACGTGGAACACATAGCTTTTTCCTAATTTAGTTTACATTACCATTAAGGTCAAATGGAAGCTTTAATTTCCAGCAACAATTCCTATTTTCTGATTCATAGTAAGATTTATTTTAACAATTACTGAAATACTGTCACCTCTGGCAAGATGATTTAGAAAATACTCGTTGGAACCTCTTCTTTTTTTGGCTACTGATACTGCATGATATACATGCAGCCTTATTTTCCAAGTGACTTCCATACATTTATAGACACCAGACTCAAAACTGATAAGAAATGCTTTTACAAATAAAATMTCACCCTTCTCTCTCACTCACTGTAGAACATGCACAATCCATTATGCCACAGTATTTAATATTCCTGTCTAAATGAAAATGCTGATGYTTTAAGTCTGGACAGCAAAAATTCAGTCAAAGAAGTATGTTTATACAGCATAGGCAAAAATAATTCAGCTTTGCCCTTCTAACAAAAAGATTCCACTCAGTGTTTTTTAATACTAGTCAAGGGAAACATGCCAGAAGGTGACATTTCTGCAGATGCTTTTCAGAACTGGAGTTTATGCAATTATACCCACAGCAGGATTTTGGATGCCGAAGCACAAATTTGTATAAATCTTTAAAAACAACACATTTTATGACTTGCTATGCAGCCTGGTTCTTTACTAAAACATCAGTSTACAACCACTGAAAGATAAAACCATTTCAGACACTGTGAAGTACCAGAACTTGACTCCATGGGGAAACTGCAGTGCAAGAGGTCACTTAAATCCTTCTTTCAAACCAAGGTCTCATTTTGCTCCAAAGATACTTCACCAGCAGTTATTTGTGGGTTTGTGGCTGCAATGGACACTGTATRCCATAGCTCTACTCCAAGACATTACTGGGAAAAGAGAGCAATACTTTTCTTTATCATGGACTGGCTTGGGCTGGAATGAGCCTTAAACAACATCTTGGTCCAATTCTCCTGCATAAGCAGGGACAYCTTCCACTAGACCAGGTTGCTCAAAGACCCATCCAACTGGCCTTGAAAACACCACAGGGAGGGGCATCCAGAACCCATTCCTGTGCATCACCATTCTTATAGTGAAAATTTTCTTCCTTATATYTAATGTAAACCTCTTACAGTTTGAAGTCATTACCCCTTGTTCTAAAAAATGGTTCACCATCTCTTGTTTAGTTGSACTCTTGCTACCTTTCAACTTAACTGAAACTTCCAATTTATTGTATTGCTTGRATTAGCATAATGAAATCTGGATTAAAAGTGTTAAGAATTGAGGCACTAAGAGGAAGACAAAAGATGGTTCTGTATAGTGTCACTTYCTTTATCTCTTGAATTACCATTAAACCGAAACAGTTAGTTAAAAGTACTGCTATTGCAACACGGTGATGTGATGGAGGTTGCATTTCCTCAGTCTGCAGAGCCTGGACTTGTCCTTACGCTGCAGTGTACCACAATCTCACTTCTGCCAACAGCTATTTACGGGGCAAGTACATTGCATGCACAGGATCACYTAGATTCAAATTTGTTTTCCTGAAGTCCCTTCCAGGGTTCACTTCGGTTTTCCTGGCTTACTGAACWGACAGTGAAGAACATCATGCTGTGCTAGCACAAGGGTGACATCCATATCCTGCTGYGTGAGATCGCAGGGCTGACAAACTTCTTTACTGCCAAACCCTGGGGATGCTACTGGGGATGTCTAGCTTGACTTCTTMGCAGTATAAAAAGTATCTGGAGAAGCTGAAAGCACTTCAGTATCAGGCACTTTGTCAGAAGGTAATACTAAYTTCATAACCAAATACCTGACAGTAGCTGCTTATCGCCTTGAAAGGTATTTGTTTCCAGTTGYAGAAGTTGAAAGTACAGCCCACTGGTTCTTCCATACCTAAGAAATCCATCTAACCTGAAAGCTTCTCTAATTCAAATGCAAGGGATGGACAAGAATGGAGAAATGAGCGTCAGATTCTCATAGTTTTAGTAACAACTTCCAAGTTTGAAGAAAGCAAGGACAGTTAATTCTTCTTGGATTTCTGAATCACTGCTTACAAAACTCATTTAAGCTCACTTTTATTCAACTGAAATTTCATAGAAATTTTTAGAGGACATGCTTAAGCAGCTTTTCTTAAATTTTATTCTAATTCTAATCTGAGTTTGTCAGCTTTGAAAAGCTGACAAAGCTTTATTTTTTAATTTTTTTGTATTTTGTTTCTATTTATTGCTTTTAGACCAACACATATTACAGGAATGCATAGGTTTCGTATCTTCTTGCTCCTCCTAAGTATGTTCTAAATAAACATACTTAACGTTTCCCCTGAAACCAGGATAATATAACTCTTCCCTCAAATAATGTATAAACTCCAAGTTATAGCCCCATTACAGTGTGCCTTGGTATTTTAGCATACCCTCCTGTCAAAAAACCGTGTAAAAATTTTAATTGGGTTAAAACTCCAAACTTGGATGTCTTTTTTCGTGCTTTATTAGGTGTGAAGAATAGAAGTGTATCTGTTTTAAATTATGTCATTCTGTGGTCCACCTTAGGCACTCCCTTAGTGCATTTGGACTAATTTGGGATTATTTTTGCTGATACAACATTTCTGTCGTCCTCTTGTTAGAAACAAAACCACGGGATGTTTCTGGATCTGAATTCATAAAAATATTCCTTGATCTTATGCATGCAACCACCTGCTCTCATCTTATCAAGCTGAGTCTCAGTTCCTAGTAGCAAACATGCCAGCAGCCAGAAGTACGGACTACTCTCCCATTTCCCCAGTAAACATACAAYTGGGGGCAAGAAGATCAGGAAGAAGGGACTGTGTGTGGCCGATGAAGAAGTGTTCACAGATAGGCTGGAGCATTATACTCACCTGGGGGATGAATGGCTGCGCTGTTCCTGTCTTGGAGAAGATACCTACCTTTCCTGTCTGTAGGTGGTGAAGATGCTTGAGGCAAGAAAGCGCCTGGGGCAGGTAGTGCCCCCTCTCTGGGGGATGCCTGCTCCTGCCTCTCGCTTAGTGTGAGGGATACTTACCCATCAGGGATAGTATTCTTCTTTACCATGCTGAAAGCAGGAGTAGGCAGARCAGAAGGCAGCGGTGAAAGTGGGCACTGCAGCAAAGGAGAGAGAACCGCGCGGTTAACACGGTGCTAATCTCTTTCTCCATCAGTGGGCCTTTTCACACGGCTGAGTCTCATGTAAAACAAATCAAGCAGCCAGCTGGGGCTTGAAGCCGTCCTGCATAAGTTCTGCACCTTGCAAGCTAGCCTATTTCACCACTGCTACAGCATGACAAGAGGGAAAGACAACTCACCTCTCCTCTCCAGGAGATCACAAGAGAGAGGAGAGGCGGCAAGTTTCTAACTCTGGCAGCAGCGCTTCAGGTATGAAGATCTTCCTGGCAGTCCCTTCCGTCCCACTCCTGCGGCTCGGAGCCGTCTATGCCGCCCTTGCGCTCCCACTTAGAACCCGTTTCATCGAGAAGAACCTCCAAGCAGCTGCAAGAGGCGAGGCCGGCACCTCAGCAATGGAAGGACCATCACCTGTCTCCCCCTAACTTARACGGGTCCGATCCCACTGGACCCGGGCACCCGCCGACCTCGGGGGCCCCGGGCGGGGGGGCGAGGGAAGCGGCTCCCATGCCCCGCTCTACGGATAACGCTGATGAAGCTGCCCCTCACAGCCGCATGTCCCCGGGGCAGGACCGGCTGCAGGGCCGGCCCATGGCTCGACAGYGGCGGAGCTCGGGGCAGGGACAAGCACAGACAGGGACGGGGGGGAAGTCGCGGCCCGGCTGCGGGGGGCGGGCAGGCGGCTGTCGAGGGAGGCGGGCGGGCTGTGAGGGGAAGGGCGCGGGCTGCAGACGGTGACAGGGAAGAGCCCGTGCAGCGGCGGGGCGGGGCGGGGAGGAGCGSGGCTGCGGGCGGCCCGTACCCGGACAGGATTTCCCTGGCGGAAGAAGGAAAGGCTGGTGCGACACAGAACCTTCCCGAAACAGCCGCGACTGCGCCTGCGCCAAGGCGGCGGGCGGGGTGGGGCCGGGCAGGGAGGGGAGGGGAGCGCAGCGTGGGAAGCGCGTCTGCGCCTGCGCGGTGGCCGGCGCGCCGGGGGCGGGGCCCGCGCTTCCGCACGCGCCGCGGCGACAGCCAATGGGGTGAGGGGCGGTGGCAGCTGCGCGCGCGCGGTGAGCCTGAGGGGCCGGCACCCCGTGAAGGCCCCTTTATTAAGCGATGCTGGTGTTTAATTATTCTCCGGCGAGATCTTTCCAAAGTGACTAGCTTCATTAGTCAAGGGTGTGCAAGTGATGTACGTTTAAAAACCAGCTGATCATRTCTCTTGCTTAAGCTTTGTTTTAAAAGTTTTTGATACTTATTATTCCCATGTACTCCACATTACTCCGAGATGGTGTCAGTGGGTGGAAGCCAGGATGATTGTCAGTACTAGAAACATGTTCTGAAAAGTTCAACCATGATTTACAGTGAAACAGGGGTTGTAATTTTGGTCATCATTTGTTAATAGATTTTTATATCTACTTGATACGGTACCATTTAATACAGGTTATGGTGCGAGTATATTAAATATTCTAATCACATATTTTGAATGTTTTTCTTTGATCTGTTGTATCTTATTTCCTCAAAGACTTTATTCAGTCTTGTATAAGTGCTTTGATGCAGTAGTTTTCACATGCCTTATGTATGGAACTTAGAAATCCCCTTTCCATACACTGTGATGCATTCCATATTGGAGTAGTCCTCTTGATACTCAGTACAAACTGATAGTTCACATCTCTTCAGTTTTGCATATTTTTCTTAGTACTACTTCATTTTTTCCAGTTCCTGTATAATTACTAGACATCAGCACTTACATTTTAAATTAAACCATATATTGAAGTTCATTTTAATTTGAGTCTTTGAGATGTCAATGGAAATTGAAAAGGGCAAAACCCAAAATTTTGTTAATAGCAATGCTGGTATAGATCTGTAATAGTTCATTTTTTAATGTGTGGATTTGCGATATGCTCTCACCATAGCTGAGAGCAGAGTCCTTTTTGAAAATGGAAAACTTGCATCAAATGATTCAGCTTGGAGTTTTTACAAATAAATACTTGTGTGGTTTTGCCGCCTTGTAAGCAGCTTGACTATATTGATAGATTGAAGGAAGATGAAGTAATCATTGCTCAGCCATGCTGTAAACCAAAGATCTCAGAAAGGTAACCTTGACTTTCAGAAAAAAATCAAAACAGCCCTCTGAACAACATCTGTATTCTCTTTTCAATGGTACATGTGACACTACCAAACACTTCTGATCCTTTAAGCGTTAAATATTGGTTTGAATGCAGTGGGTTCTTTACAGCATTTCACTGGTTATTTATCTCTTCCCGTACTGTAAACCAAGAAGCCTTCACTTTAATCTGATTTTTTAAAGAATACAGTAATAAACTGGAAGCAAAGTAGATTTAAATTTTCATTTAGATTTAGATTTTCATTTCCATTCTGTAAAGTCTGATCTGGGAACACCCGAGCGCAGCCCTGCGCCGGCACCGCCAGAGGGCGCCGGTGCCGCGGGCTCCGCGCTGGGAACGGGCGGGCCCTGCCCCATTCCCATCCCCATTCCCATCCCCATTCCCATCCCCATTCCCATCCCCATTCCCATCCCCATCCCCATCCCCATTCCCATCCCCATTCCCATCCCCATCCCCATTTCGGGGTGGCCTCGGGACCCCACCCACGGGGAAATTAGCACCACATCTTAAAACTCACACGTCAGAAACGGCGGGCTTTTCAGTTCATTAAAACTTGCACTCGCTAATAAAAACGTGACAGCAGTTGGTCAAGCAGTTAGCATGTAAGAAACAATTATATGGGGTTTATGCWCCACTGAAAGCTGATTTGTTTTTTAGAGTTTGCTGGAGACATTGAGGGTGCTGGTGGATGACATATAGAGTGATTTAAATCAGAACCTGCAGGAAGGTAGTACAATAAAAATACTTATTTCCATATTTCCTACTATTGTGCAGCAAAACTTAACAAGTCAGGAATGTATTAATGTATTTATTTTTATGTGCTTATATTGAATAGTCCCATTCAACTCGGTGTTATTTCCCGTGGTTTAAGGTAGAGGTCTCTGAATTTAGATTTGTCATTCTCTCAAGAGCAGTGGTACTAACTCCAGATGGTGTGTGAGGTCTTAACACGCAAGCTCTGTTACAGCAAGGTCTGTTACAGCTACAGTAGGTGACAGCTTAAAAAACGCAGAAGAAGTTTGCGCTGGGTTCTGAACATCATGTCATTATCCTGAAAGGACACATCAAAGAAGAATATGATTTTTCCTCCCAAAAAAGAGTCATCCTTGAACTCTGATCTTACAGGCTGTCGATACTGACCTCTAATTCTTTTRTTAAGTATTTGTGAATCACGTTTTCTGAAGGTTTTAGTCAGTTAAGTTTTTCTCCTCCATTAACTCTAATTCAAGAAAGCATCATCCTTTTTCAGGGAAATACAAGCTTATCAGCAACTCAGATGTTAAAATGCAGGTGAGTTGCTATGGCTGTGAGGTAGCAAAATGTAAACTTTGTTTGAAAGCCACATAGTTTCTATGGTCCATTAAAATAAAATTTCACTTAATGTGGAGGGGCAGAGAGGAAGTTKCACTTAATGTGGAGGGGCAGAGAGGGTGACTTTTCAAATACATTAAAAAATATATACACACAATCTTATTGAATGGMTTTTTCTATTCTGTCAAAAAAATTTTGATTTAGATGTACCTTTCTTTCTAGATGAAAGAGAGAAACTACCTGCTTTGATGTCAGGCAAACCCATGCATGCTTTATCACGGGAACCCGATGAAGGAAGTGCTTTCCTGTACCACCTGTTTCACAGCTGATAAATTCTGCTTGATGCAGGTAATAATGAATTGTATACTTTTAAGGTTTATCAGGGCTCTCATCTGTTAGAATTTCATGTTCGGATCTGTGGGAACTGTTTGTAGATGGTTATGGGTTTCTTAGCACTTCCTAGTTGATTTTTTTTAATAACTATAATGTTAAACCAGATAACCTGATTAATCTGTCAGAATCTGAAATGTGTTTTAAAAATTGTATACMTTATAAGAAATTTCTGTTGCAATAAACATTTGCTCATTAAATATTTTWCAATGAATGCTAGATGGTTTCATTTTAATGTACCAAGAAATATGAATGCAGAAATAGCTACTGGAATTTGATGGCTCAGTATAAGATATATAAACTTATCAAATGGGCTAAAGCAGAGGAGATTGATCCCAGATATCCTAAGTATTCATGCATGGTGGTATTCAYATATAATGGAATTGATTATGGTAATGTTAATTTTGATAGTACATTTTTGTATGTTCTTTTAGAAGGAAATACATATTGTCCTTACTGTATAAAGAGACAGGGTAATTGTAGGTACTCTTAATATTTCTCATGGAAGTTCTTTGGCTTCAAGATTACAAATAACAGGGACCAAGATAAGGCTCGTTATGTTTTTTTAATGTTTAATAGATAAAAGCAAAGCATGGGAACAAACGTAAGTAGTTATCAGAGTATTTAATACCCCAGAGCAGAACTGTTGCCTTAGATTAGGTCTCATATCAGAATAGCCAAACTGAGGAAGCTGTATCTTTTGCTACAATTGCATAGAGGTCACTTCTCTGCCTGGGATAAAGATCCTGTCCTCTCCAGGACACACAGATGTCCTGTGAATGCTCAGTAACTCTGGGATGTTCTGCATGCAGTGGGTTTATTGTGTGATCTCAGGTTAACCCTGGAGGGCACAGTTCTGATGTGAGAGGGCTGTGCTGGGTTTACATGTCCTGTACAGGTCACCTGCTTGTGCTCCATGTCTGATGATTCATCTTGTAAGTGATTATTATCAGTAATATATGATAATCCAGGGAAAAATCAAATAATTTGGTAAGAAGCATCTTTAATTTGCAATGCTACTTCTTAAAAAAGGACTTTCGTGAACTTTTTTGTCATGCAGAAAAATATTTATGTACAATGTAAAGTAAAAGTTTATATATTCTTTTACTTCTCAAAAATTCACTCCAGTAAAAAAAGTATGAATTTGTTTACAACTAAATGACATTACAGTTAGACCTGATRAATAATTTTGGCTCAGATAAGCCATGAACTAGCATATGGTTTTGCTACTGGTGCTAGTCAGAAATATATATCATAAGTCTTGACGAAGTTTGTGTAAAGTCTGTGAAGGTTAGTTAAGCAAAGAGTTATTTTGAAATTGAGACAATTTGTAAAACTCTCCAGCATTGCTCTTAAATTTTTTCACAGTATTCAGGATCCAAGGAACAAACCRTTCCAAAATACTTTTGAACAGCTGCAAGAAGAATTTAACTTTGTTACTGAAGAAGATATTAAAAAGTGTAAATGCTTCCAGCTGTTGTAGTAGTAAAACTTTTGTTTATAGGCAGATACCATACAGAGTATTTCAGGAATTTGGTATTTCAGATAAAGTCTTTGTTTAAACTTTTGTGTGCTGAATTGTGCACATTTAGTCTCTGACTTTTAAAGTATTTTCTGAATCCATCTTTCCTGTTCTTTTATATATTATGTAGCAGAGAATTTTGTTCATTGTCAACCTAAATGCCAAGTCASAGCTATCTATACTTTCAACATATTTGGATTAACTGTAATTARAAGCATATTAGATATATTAGTTAACAGTACAAATTATGTGATCAAAGTCCAATAAGCATTGTGTATAGCTTGCAAAATTTCACTCATAGATATTAGATACATAGCTAGATACTATGATCCTTTGAACAAAATCAACTATTTTTCTCTCAAATGTTCTCAAAGTGAAGCTCTGGGTAGAAACTTTAAAATGTAGTTGAAAACCAACATTTTGATGAGATGATACATCTAGCATGCTGATTTTTGTGGGCTTCAATTCTTCACATTTTTAATCGATGGGAYTGTATATTCTATGAAACATTGTGAATCCCCACACTGAGCTGCCACAATTTAT